CCTGATTTCTATTTGCTGTTTGGACCCATCATCTTTGTTATCTCGTTACGCTGGATTTCCATTAGCAAGGACATCTAAAGCCTCCCAATATCTCTTTTCATTGTGTTTCCTCCATATGAAGCCTCTCCTGTTATCCTCCAGTTCATCTCGTGTCATCTCTGTGCAATATGTTCCGTCACTTCTGATCTCTCCGTATCCATTTTTGCAGAGTGATATTCTTTGATTTCTCCTTCCGCCTTGCCAATATTTCCATGCTCACAATAGCTGCATGTTACACAGTTGACTAAAGAGTAATCGAATCTGCACACTTTGTCATGTTGCAAACCTGCCCTTTCCTTCGTGATCACCCGGATATCCCATTTATCAAATGTCGGTCGAAGCTTGTGATTAAATTCATATAAACAACAGTAAAGACCAAATATTTTACATTCAATGGCGATATCTATGAACGAGTTTTTGGAATACTCATTGGATTTAAACTCACATCTTCAACAAACATATACATGGAGAAATTATAAAAAGGAACTTAAGGCGCTACTGCTGCGATCAAAAATGCCCACGCACAATCTCGATGACTTTGGATAACATCTAGAATTATAAATTTACGTTATGGCACTGGAAATTATCATGAAAACCATCGCAGAGGACTAGGGACAGTGTTCATCGAAGTCCTACTGAGAAGAAAACCAAGTTGCAAAAATTAAGTTAAACCATTGCGACAAAAGGCCATCATCTTAGTGTTTATGCCTTCATATAGATATTTGAATTTCGCACAATGGATTATATACCTCCTCGAGACACCATTGAGTTCACTTTGCTTTGCCTTCTAAAATGCCCACTCCCGTAAGCAGATCTGGATACCAAAGTTTAATGAGCAAAGAGGCAACTTAAAGTAAAATTGGATGACATTTTTAGGCCTTCTGGTCGCTTCATTTTGAGAAGTTCAACTATATGTCTTTACATCACTTCAGATGATCTAGGGTGGGTCGAGTGTTTGTAATAGCTAAATTATACATATGCCAATCATAATGATCATGATAGTATTTAGGGGCTTATTATAAAATCATTATAATGAAGCCCTGACCTCAAATCAGTTTTGATAAGAATCCCTCTGCATCTAAGCTCTAATTCCATATTTTTTCCAATGTGCGCCCATTTATATAAGAAACGAATATATCAGAGGAAGGAGCCCATATAATCCTTAATATTATTTGTAGCAGGAATAGTATGTTGATGAAATTTCCAGAGGCAATAAGAATTTCAGAATTCGAATTCATTAAATAAAATAGAGCATGTTGACTGCATTCAAACAAAAGGAATGAATTTACCTCTGCCGGTCGTAAAACAAAGGAGAATGAAACAAGAGAACATATCAAAAAAATCCATTGCATAAAATGAGGGCAATTTCAAGATAATATGAGTTGAAAAATGATAATATGCACTAGTCAAATCGTTGAGGGAACAGATGATTCAGATGAATTGGGCTGTGGTATCCCGGTAGCCAAATCTTGAGGAATGCTCATTTTGTTAATTGAATCGGATTTGTTCGGCAGCAAGACTGTCCGGAGCTGGCGAATTGCTTGACTGGCCAGCGATAGCTGCCAGCTCTCAGTCAATCCACTTTCTCCAGTACCAGACGTAGAGTTTACTGCAGATTCACCAGCGGCCAGCTGGCAGCGGAGATACCCATATAGGTTGGCGCACGAAAGTCCTTCAGCCAAGATGCATACAAGTAGCCAACGGAGACGAAGCGAAAGAAGAGCAGAAAATGTAAATAGCAGCCAAATTAAAGGACTCAGGACGAGACCAACCCAGAATAAACGAACACCCCGAGCTTGGGCAGCTAGGCTGGCCAGGAGACGGCGGCTAACCACTGGACCAAACTTAGTAGTATTTGGCTTTACCGATCTAGAATGAGAAAAAGCGACGTGGTTGATTAAAAAGGTCAGTCGGAGGTGTATGCAATTTTCGCGAAGTTAAGTTAGAGGTCAAATTAAGCTAAAAATACACAAAATAAAAAAATTATAGAGAAACAATTCGATTTATTAGGGCACCCTGAAGCAATGATTTGGAAAGATGTGGGAGGTGCAGGTAAAACCGAAATTGGCAATATATTTGGAGCCCAGCAGTAAAGAAAGCTAATAGCCTGCAGATCTCAGGCCCAGCTCCTCAACATAGGAAGTTAGATAGTTTATAATATTAGAAAAACTGTTGCTTAAATACCCAATTCCCTTCTGAACAATGCAAATTGAAAGAGGCTCAATCGAAGGTATGAATAGTATGAAGATGTGTCTAAAATATAATTGCAGCCTACTTTTGCTTAATAAAAGTGGTCTGACCTCACTTTCGCAATTTGATCATTGCCAAAGACCTCAAAAAATGTATCTCGTCTTGCATCGTTTAAAATTATGTGATCCCAGCATCCAGATGGTTTCCTCTCCTCTATTGATAGGCGAAAATTGCAGTTCCAACTTGATCCTTTCATCGAAGGCATTAAGACCAAGATGTGCCCTTTTGTATAGTCACAGTCTCATTTCGTGTACTATAGATAGAACCACGATAGATGCGGTGGAGACTAGAGCTAGTTGGCTAAAAGTAGACGTATTCTATGAAGCAAAGGCTTGACCATGATAATTACCTGGGCTCTTTATCATCAAGTTAGTCTCCCATATAGCTTGAGAATCCTGATTTTTAGGAGCCCACTTAGCGATGCGGAAGTATGCGTGCCATCAAAGGCTTGAGACAATGTGGGAAAGAACGTTTCGAGTAGTACAGATAGGGTGGCAGAGTCCGAATGAAGTATCTCAACCAGGAAGGAAGGAGGCGGATCCTAAGAAACAAAATGGAGACTGATAAGATATATGGGAAAAGGATTGCGGAGTGAGGGGTGAGAAAGCCAGGGTGGGGTTTGGACAGTTCTCAATAAAATCCGCTTAAAAAGAGCATTCCACAGCAGATTTAAATAAGAAATTGTGAAAGTGAAGGGGTGATACAAGGATATGGGATTAGTGAATAGCCCAGGGCAGAAGGAAAGATACCACAATTGTTTAGCAGGCAATTAGTCAAAGGATCGGCTTCACTTGCCTCTATAACGAGTTGTAGTGTGGCGCTAAGATCAACAAAGCTCAGTGACTATTTAAGATATGAAGACCAAGATGTTGTGGTCGGAGTCTCCTTTCGATTTACAGAAGTGGGTTGACCTCATTGTCGCAACTTGGTCTTGTTTTCAGGGAGACTATGTAGAACACACCTAGTCAGAAGTCGTCTGCCATAGTAGTTGTCATGATTCCCAGTATCTGACAGTGGACTTGATACATTCTCAAACGTTTCGCCGACATCTTAATCGGCATCATCAGTAAACTTTGCCATTCTCCGCACCAAGATACGAATTCGTCGAAGAGGCAAGTGAAGTCAATCCCTCGACAACCATTCTGCTGAAAACGGTTACACTATCACTCCTCTTTGACATTGTCTATCTATCTACTCTTTACCTTCTTATCTCACTGCCGCCCTATCACAACTTCTCATTTGTTTACATTCCAATAATCAAAATGTGTGCCCTTTTGTGGCAAACCGAGTGTGGCCTTATCAAACTTGCTATTTACCCCGACCCCTCTCTTTCGATGGGTTTAACTCACTCGGGCCTCCAATACGGATCCTTTCATTGTCTCATAAATCCGTTCCTTATCTTTCTGGTTGACCGATTTCACTAGGGTCCAGTCCCTGTGTGCATTTCACTTCAGTGGATTTCTAATGCATTTTGGCCGAAACCACTAACTTCTATGACGGTGTGCTTATCCGTCTGCCCCGCTCCCTAACTGTCAGGCCCCCAAAGTTTTACTGATTTATTCAAATGGCCATCACTCAGTGACGTCTTCGCTTTAGTAAGGGTCCTGTCTCCGGAAGATTTTCAAAAACTTCAGAGCATGACAGACAGGAAATCACGTAGGATTTCTGACTTAATAACCAAACGGCATGACGAAAAGTTGC